GTCCCCACTTTCTAATCAGATCGGATATATGGTGGGTATATTCAACAGGACACTAGTTTTTCCCCATATGTTAATCTGACGCGCTCGAGTAGGTAACTACCGAATTCCCTTTATGGGCTCCCCTACTAATATACATATAATGTTGTATTAGGTGTTATTTCGAATGTCGAATCTGAACCAATGTGAAAAAAGTAGGTACTCTAAAAATAAAACAGTATTGTGTACTAGATTTGACAATGCATCATCCTCAACAATTGTCACATGACCAAATCAGAAAGTTAAGTAGGTGATTTAGTTCTTTCTCACAAAAGGGATTGGCGTTTGTTAATTGAATAAAAATGAAATAAACAGACAAACTCAGGCATTTAAAAAGCATTTGTTTAATAAAACGTTTAGTTACTGCTAATCATTTTACGTGTCAGAGATAAAGTGAAAATCTTTTGTCCAACTCGATACAAAACTAGGACTCGGTGACGACCACAAAAGTAATTGGGGAAGCACAAAGGACACGGAGATAAAAATAATTATTTTTATTATTTAAAAAATGGAATAATGTCGTGTCATAACATTTATTGTTGTGTTGCCATTAGCCACTTGTCAAACAAAAGATCGTCCATTTTCTTGTGTTTTTTTGTCTCCTCAGGCCAGACGATGCCCTCGATCCAGGGTACGTAGTAAGAGACCCTGGTGTACATGCCAGGCGAGCCAAGGATGCCGCAGTCCTTGCCGAATGACGTCACGCCGACCACTGTGTACTGACATTTGAACTGGTTCGTCTGGAGGGGACCACCGCTGTCACCCTGGAGAATATAAAAATATTAAGGTAATATTGAACTCAAAAGAAATAAGGATATTCTTAAACGTTATTAAAAAATATGGTTAATCCTCATTTCATTGCAATTCGAGGATTTGGGGAAATGATAATTGATAGGTCATTTGAAGACTAATGCAAATCAACTTAGAAAGCAGAGTGTTCGTTTAACTAGTTTAGAGTCCTTCTTTGCGATACTACGTGCGTACCTCGCAAGTATCAATTATCTCTCGATGGTTTCCGTAACACATTTGTTTTTCATGATCATATCCATGCTTCAAATGTCTGTGCGGTGGGAAAAGAGTCGCACATTCTGTTTCTTCAAACTCCGTGAGAGTCACCTGTAATGAGAGCATATAAGTAAATATAAGAAACTTTTTCAATATTATCGTGTGTAAGCATATTACTTACTACTTGCAATGTATCAGCTAAATCCTTCATATGACCCAAACGGCCCCAACCAGAAGCATCAGCCGTGAGTTCTTTATTCTTTCCTGTATCTAGACATGCAGGCAGAAGATTTTTGCCAAAATTTATCCTGAAATTACAGACTATAGTTAACAATGCATTTGTACATACGAGCTAATAAAATAATTGCGCATCTTTTTACATATAAGCAAATTTTACTAGGTGGGCCTAACAGAGTTCCCTGTGGAACACCATTAATGTATTAGTATTGAATTGAGAAACAGCTATAAATTATATTGATTTTGTGGGAGAAATACGAAAATATTATTAGTTTTCCTCATTTATAATAAACATAGTAACTATAAGTCTTTAGTTTACTGACAATGTTTGATAGCATTTTTATCAAACGCTCGTGAAATGTAAGAGAAACCATATTAAATATTACAAGCATATAAACTCAAACGCTTACTCAGTTTCTGTCTCCAGAAGTGCGATATCATGGTATTTGGAAGGAGGATTGTATTCAGGATGGGGAATTATTCTTTTAATATTATGTATATTCCACAATTCTTTCGGATCAGTTCGTTTTAGTAGTCCAAGTGCAGCATATGAGACGTTGCCCCTTGAATTTACAAACAACAACAAAATTACGGTTTAAGACATTTATTTCTCAAAAACAATTTACATTGACTTGACTGAGAAATACAAAATATACATAAGTAGGTACAGAATGCGAATCAGTGCCCGAAACAATAAATCCGTATTTATGAACAACCAAAATATTACATTGGCTACATACTTAAAACATCAATACATAGTATAAAACAAAGTCGCTTTCGCTGTATGTCCGTATGTATGCTTAGATCTTTAAAACTACGCAACGGATTTTGATGCGGTTTTTATTAATAGATAGAGTGATTCTTAAGGAAGGTTTGTATGTATAATACATGCATATTGCACCCGTGCGAAGCCGGGGCGGGTCGCTAGTACACAATAAAATTACTTTGAGTAGTCGAAGGTAATCTTAAAAATATTGGGTCGAGAATATCAAACATTGTGTTTTTACTAATAGGAATTTGCAATAGCAATGGTCTTATTACGTATCGAAGATTCGAAACACATTAGTTGCTATCCCAGATATACAATAATAATTATGTTATGGACAACTATTAATACCGTGCCACACTTTTTTTTTTGCAGTCATCATAAAATAATAAATAATAATTAACATTGTATGTGTGTGTGTTTACGCAATGTATGCAAGAGGTTATGGAGTATTGTTTGTTTTATTTTTATAGTATAACTATGTAGGCATGTTCTTTCCCTTTTGTTAATTAGATATATGGATTTAAATTATGTGGTTTAGTTATAAAGATTATTTGCTTGGTAGTTTTAATATATAATACTTTAACTTCTTTTTGAATAAAGGAAATGACTTTATTTCCTTTATATCATTTGGTTGTTTATTATATAGTTGAAACCCTTCGTATTTGATGTTTTTACTTCCGTAATTGACAGTGCGTGGTGGTTGCAAGCATAAATTGTTAGCATTTCTCAATAAACGTTGTTGGACTTGTGATTTTTTTGTGAAGGATATGTTTGTGTGTATGGACTTATTTAGTATTTTCCGTATGAGAATACACATACTGTAAATGTATATTTGATCTACGGTCATTAGACCAGTTTTCTGAAGTACTATGTTTGTCGATGTAAGATAGGGAAAGCGGAAGAGCAATTTTACTATTTTATTTTGAGAAATTCGCAAGTGATTTAAGTTTTTTTTAGCAGCCGTACCCCAGAGTTCAATAAGATAGGAGAGGTGAGATTTTATTAGGGAAATTATATATAATATAAGAAACTGATTTCGGAAAGCAGCCAACAGTGTGACGAATTCGCCAGGCCCATCAAAGTCGCCAGCTTTGATATTATTTTTCAATATGTGGCTTCGAGGTGATCTGGCTATCGAGTATAAGCCTAAGGTATTTTTCTGATTCTACTCGTGTTAGGGACTCACTATTGATGGATAGTGTCGGGTAGTTAGTTATGTTCTTGTTTTTCGCCCTGAAAATCATGTAGTTTGTTTTAGATACATTTATAGTTAAGAGGTTATATTGGAACCATGTACTGAGAATATCCAAATCACCCTGAGCCTGATGGGTCATAGCTTGTATATCAGTGCCAAAGTAAAAGAGACTTGTATCATCGGCGTATAATGTTACATCGCCAGACAGACCCAGCTCATGAATGTTATTAATATAAATGATAAATAGTAACGGCCCTAGAATAGATCCTTGTGGTACACCGTAGGTGATGAGCTGAGGTGAACTTTGGGTATCAAGAATTTTTACAATCTGATACCTGTTGGTAAGGTAAGACTGAATCATATTGAGTGCAGTGCCTTTAATACCGATTTGTAGTAACTTATCTAGTAGTAGCTTATGATCAAACAACAACAAAATTAAAAATATGAAACGACCAATGTAACAAGTTCACGCAATATAATGTAAACTAAAACTTACAAAGCTCTGGTAGAGATGCAGTGTGCAGCAGTAAGTATGAATCTCTCGCTGATCACAGTTCCTCCACAAAGCCATTGAGCCGATTTTTGTTCATCTCCATATCCTAGTAAAGCCTAAAATGGAGAACAGCAATTTAATACACTGAAACTGTAAGCCAGTTATTCTAACCAATGAATTTATGCAAGCATAGCATAGTAGTATTATTAACTACTAATTGGAAATTTTTATAGGGCTTACATTATAGGTAAGAGAGGAAGTTACCTCAAGTCTGATTAATTAATTACATAAGATGAAATCTGAATGTCTTATACCATGTGAGGAAATTCCCATCTTTGTGCCATTCTTCCACCAACAGCTAATGCATAACCTAACTGGATCGCATGACATTTTCTATTTTCGTTCCAGAACTTTTGCACTTTGAAATTTCCTTGACCCCGACACGGGTAGGGTAGAATCTTTAAATAATCTAGACATTCTAAAAAAGAAATACAATTATAATAGAGACAACGAAAAATCATAAAAAAATGTGTATTGTTTTAATTATCTTACTAGACCAAGCTACCGGGCCTTTATTATCTTTAGGAATCCCCAGAGGTCCTATGGAAGTATGACGGAACCTGAAATAACGAAAAACAACGATAATATTAACCTTCTCTTGTCAAGTAGGCATACATATTAGTCGTCTTCTTTCGGTATCATCATAAACATATTGCAAATCATAATTTGATATAAAGAGGAGAAAATCCATTGAAGCTAGTCTCATTAGTTATTATACATAATCTAGTGTGTCATCTACATATATTTCTATCTATTATTACATGATCAGCCCCCCTTCTGGTTACTCATTTTCTGACCCATGAAAAGGAACAAATATTCATAAATAATAAAAATCTGATGGATGTCTGTTAACTTTGTTTAGGCCTTGTTACTTACGGTTCTGCATTAGAAATATTACAATCAGTACAGCACACTACAGGTTCCTCGTTCTTATATGAACAGATATCTGGCAGCTCTGGGTAGTCATATATTTTATCAGGTGTCTTGACGTATCCCGCATTGGCCTGGAAATGACGACGGTCTACTATAAGTACTACGATCTTCTTATAACATATTTACACGTAAAACAACACTTGCGTCGTTTTCGTGTAAATGAAGTTACCAGAGGATTCATTACCCTAAATCTCCGCAATCCCATCCCAGGTTTGAAAGGTCGTGGTGGGTATATCTCATAAAAATCTGGTGGTACCTATACCGATACTTACATAAAGGTAACTCAACGATGCAGAGGGACACCGAAATATTCCAACGCACGTTCCATTTAGACCATCAGTTACGCAAGGTTCATCTGTAACATGGTAACTCTCGTCTGTATTAATTGTCACCTAAATTGCTGAACATAGGCAACATAACATATCCTCCTAAAATTCTAGTAATACAAAACGTCCACTGCTGCACATAATCGTCCTCTCAATACTTCCAGATCGATTGAATCCGTCACCACCAACCACAAAAGATAGACAGATTATCCGATGTTTTTATAATAACTATCGTGAGACATGATTATCCGATAGGTAAAGATGGCAGAAAGCCCCTGAATGCAAGGCGATAAGGCGAAATAAGATGCAGAAACTAAAAAGGTTATAAGTCAACACGTGTTTAAAACGTGTTTATTAATTGAACGGCTTCCACAAACATCCAATCTAAGATATTGATATTATAAAATCCTAACTTATTAGAATTTAGCTTGATATTATGAAACGTTTAGATCATCATCGTAAGGCTCAGAATAGCAGCCTTATGACCTTCTGACATGCCGGAAAGATTTTGGCAAAAGTGTTTCTAGTTTTTGTTTAAAAATCACATATTGGGAGAAAAATTACCGACATTGTTCGCTGTATTTTACTATCTCAGTATACGGAGACGTAACAATTTAGTCTCCGTATACTCCGTACATATCCTAGTAGCGTCAAAATGATTGACATGTATGTGTAAAACATCAAAGTTCAAACTAAACAATTAATAATGAATCTCAGTGATTAAAAATATATTATAGTTTTTCATATAGTATAAGTACCTACATATAACGCAGCTACAAACCACAGGTATGGAAACTTAGGTCAATATAGTTCAGGTAACTTACCTTCTTGAAGATTTAGGTCACATGAAACAAAACTTAGAACGCTTAACAACACAAATGCTCTATAAATGTTTGCACCCATATCTGACGGAGACTCGGAGCAAAATGATAAACACTAAGCCCATACTTGCATAAAAACAAGTTTATTCATTATAATACCTACATGATTATTATGGTCAATGAATGATAATAGTTGAGAATCGTGATATATCCAGATTTGATTATAGTTAATAATAATAAAATATAAAAAAGCTATTTATTTCTCGTAAAATACAGTTTTATACAAATCTTAACTTAATCTTAAACATAAATAGAAAAGATTTTACAGTGAAGAAGTTGCTATTTCATTATAATTCGTTAAATGTCGCTTGAATATGTTATAGGTCTGCCTTTTATTTCTGTTTTCCAGTTTACAAACTATGTGTTTTGGCAACTTGTTGAGTATTCGGGCAAGACTGACATTCCATACTCTCTCACCATAATCGTTATGACATTTTGGTATTTCAAAGGTAGGGAGTACTATACTGTTCTGAGTTACAATTGCTAAATCTCTCTTATCAAATACACTCAAAACCTTACAATAATGAACCAAGTAGTGATAATTATCTTTGTTCTTGAATTTAACTTTTAAAGGAACAATTGTTTTTAAAATTCTAATCTGCAAATTATATATGTTATTTAGATACGTTTTATACGTTCTTCCATAGCTAGTTAAGCCATAACTCATGACAGAATCGTCTAAAGACATATACATAGGTCTCAGTGTTCTATATGACACTTTATGTTTGAGCACACATAGTTTTGACAAAATAGCTCTTAGCTTGTTACATATTAGGTTAACATGTGATTTCCAGTTTAACTTATGATCTATTATTAGTCCAAGGTAGGTGTGTTCTTTCACGATTTCCAGTTTCTCACATGTACAAGCGTTATTGTTTATATGCATGCAACTGTGCTCATGGACGATGATCATCGGAAACGAAGCTGCTTTCGATGCGGATTTTAGAATAGTTTTTGATATACTTAGGATAAAGTTTGAACTGACTTCAAAAAAGAGGAGTTAAAGTCTGTTTTTTAAACGTATGTACCTATCAAACAACAACAAAAGAAACAGTGGGATACTGAGAGCCGTGTTATTATATGGCAAAGTTGCCTTAGGGAAAATACTAAAAGGAGCTAAAGTTATTACCTATTTTAATTATTTCTAAAATAGAAAAATGTCGTGTTATAACATTTATTGTTGTGTAGCATTTAGCCACTTGTCAAACAAAAGATCGTCCTTTTTCTTGTGTTCTTTTGTCTCCTCAGGCCAGACGATGGCCTCGATCCAGGGTACGTAGTAAGAGACCCTGGTGTACATGCCAGGTGAGCCGAGGATACCGCAGTACTTGCCGAATGACGTCACGCCGACCACTGTGTACTGACATTTGAACTGGTTCGTCTGGAGAGGACCACCGCTGTCACCCTGGAGAATATAAAAATAACAAGGTAATGCACTCAAAAGAAATAAGGATATTCCTAGAAGTTACTAAAATAATATTGATAATCCTCATTTCATGGCGATTCGAGGATTTTGGGAAATAATAATTGATAGGTCATTTTTAGACCAAATGAGTGTTCGCTTAATTAGTTCAGAGTCCTTCTTTGCGATTCTACGTGCGTACCTCACAAGTATCAATTATCTTTTGGTGGTTTCCGTAACACATCTGTTTTTCATGATCGTATCCATGCTTCAGATGTCTGTGCGGTGAAAAGAATGTTGCACATTCTGTTTCTTCAAACTCCTGGAGAGTCACCTGTAATGAGAGCATATAAGTAAATATTAGAACCTTTTTTAATATTATCGTGCATAAGTATATTACTTACTACTTGCAATGTATCAGCTAAATCCTTCATATGACCCAAACGGCCCCAACCAGAAGCATCAGCCGTGAGTTCTTTTTTCTTTCCTGTATCTAGACATGCAGGCAGAAGATTTTTACCAAAATTTATCCTGAAATTATAGACTATAGTTAGCATTTGTACATACGAGCTAATAAAATAATTGTGCATCTTTGTACATATAAGCAAATTTTACAAGGCGGGCCTAACACAGTTCCCTGTGGAACACCATTCATGTATTAGTATTGAATTGAGAAACAGTTGTAAGTGATATTGATTTTGTCAGAGAAATACGAAAATATTATTAGTTTTCATCATTTATAATAAACATAGTAATGATAAGTCTTTAGTTTACTGACAATGTTTGATAGCATCTTTATGAAACGCTCGTGAAATGTAATAGAAACCATATTAAAGTTTACAAGCTTATTAAAACTCAAAAGCTTACTCAGTTTCTGTCTCCAGAAGTGCGATATCATGGTATTTGGAAGGAGGATTGTATTCAGGATGGGGAATTATTCTTTTAATATTATGTATGTTCCACAATTCCTTCGGATCAGTGCGTTTTAATATCCCAAGTGCAGCATATGAGACGTTGCCCCTTGAATTTAAACACAACAAATAAAAATGAAACGACCAATGTAAGAAGTGCTTAGTATTTTTTTTTTTTAAATTGGGACAAGCCCGCCACAACCTCCCAAAACCGCTGCAACTCCTGTAAGCCAGGATCTACAGTAGATACAACCATGATAACACCGGAACACTGAAGTCCGGCGCATCCCAGGGACATGAGTAACTGTCTTGGTTCCCGCAACGAAGTGAATCAGAAGATATTATAAGAGGAGAAGAAGAAAAAACTATGGTTTTCACTTCCCTCGGTGAATTACTGCAGGAGACAGAATTAATTAAGCCCAAAGGCACAAAGAAGAGACTGTACAACTGGGTGAAGCCCAGTCGCCAAGCACCACGGAAAATTGACTAAAAACTAAGTGGGTCCTATGTGTCAGCTGTTATACCTCTACTTGCTTCCAATAATAGGTATGGCGAAAACGCCTAAACGCACGGAAATTCGTTCTAGATTCCACAAGGTCCGTATAATAAACTACACCTGACGAAACAATTAAGTTATTTAACATAGTGTTACGTTCATATTGCCAGAGATCACACTCCCAGAGTATGTAAGATGGGCAGACTGCTCGTATCGCAACTTCTCTGTCGAACATTGGCACCATGGTGAATCAATAAGTTTAAATGAGAACAATTTGCTTTTAAAGTTGCCGTGGCCAGTAAGAAATTGGGCAACACAGTGATCCACTTCCAACCATGTCCTCTCCAGCCGCTCATGCACGGATGGGAAGAACTGATATAGGTGGCGGCCCTTAATAGAAGATGCCCATCTACACTGCCATTCGGTTATAAGCTCGCCCCAAACGTCCGTCATTGGCTTAAACAATCTATCAATTTTATTTCTATCACGTTGTGCTAGAAAGCTTGCTGACAAATTAGGCCTCGCACTGTAGTACATAGCAGCACGTCGCTGCACCTCAAGATCTACCGGAAGGACGCCTGCGAGCACAGGTAGGGCCTCAGTGCTAACCGTCCTATAGGCCTTACACAGGAAAATCAAGGCTAGACGCTGGCCTTGGAGAAGTTTTCGCCGTACCGCGCCTATTGTGGCCCTATCAGCCCAGACAGGTGCCCCGTAGCACACGCATCCCAGGTAGGTTGCTCCGTATATGATCCTGAGCGTAAGAAAAGAGAGACCCCAGGTGGCTTTTGAAATTCGCGTCAGCGCATAGAAGTTTTTTTTGGCTTTCTCACTAATAGCCTTAATATGCTCAATGAAAGAAAAGTTTTTTTCCAAAACTAGACCGAGATAGCAAACCGACTCCTTTCGTTTTACGGAAACGTTGTTAAATTTAATAGACGGCCACGACTTTAGATTTCCTTTAAGCAATAGCTGGTAAGTTTTATGGGGTGCAAAAGTTAAGCGATTTCGTTCGCCCCATCGCGAGATCCTACTGAGACAGTCTTTAGCCAAATTCTCCAGTCCGGCGCGGGTATTTGACTGTACTAGCAAAAGGCCATCATCCGCATATCCAGTCAAAGTACAGCCACAAGGAAGGGGAATCGCGAGCAAATCATCAAATCCTAAATTCCATAAATACGGACCGATAACCGAGCCCTGAGGACATCCCATTGATAAAGACTTCGACCGAGAACAATGACCAAGCTTCAGTTTAACGGAACCGTGAAGGAAATACGTGTATATTAATTTATATATGTTACTAAAACAGCCACGACCTTTCAGTTTTAAGAGTAACATTGGCCACCATGCGTTATCAAAGGCACCGGAAATGTCCAGAAAAATGCCTACTATATACTTGTGTTCAGACGAATTTACCATGGATCGGACAGAAAGAGCCGCGTCGACAGTAGACTTTCCTACAGTGAAACCAAATTGATTGTTGTGGAATTTTGGTCCACCTGGCAGTAAACGAGGAACGATAAGTCGCTCAAGTAGTTTCCCTAAAGATGGCAAAAGCGTGATAGGCCGGTATGACTTAGGGTCATCGGGGGGTTTATTTCCATTCTTGGGGATTATGCGAATGAATCCACGTCGCCATACACGAGGAAATACGCCTTCCGCGATACAACGGTTGAACACAGTTAGGATCGCATCAGCCGCGGATTTACATGCTTCTATTATCATTTTATTTGAGACTTTGTCTTCACCAGATGATTTATTTAAAGGCAAAGTTTTAACAATAGTTACGAGCTCGTTGATGGACGGTAGATCAGACACTGGTGACTCCGGCGGTATAGCTGCCCACGACCTAATCTGTTGATGGTAATCATTGTCTGTCTCGAGCACATCGTCAGGGACAAGTTCGTCGAGTAGAACTTCCGTTGTCTCCTCAATACCAGTGGTGTGAACATTGTTGACTTTTATGTTCTGTACGAATGCCAGATCGACGGATCTATTGGCTTTGAACTCATGGTATAGAGGCGACCACGGGCCCTCCTTATCTAATTTCTGTACAACCCTCCGTAGCAAATCACCCTTGGCTTTCTCCACCGAAGCCCTATAACGTGACCTGGCAACTCTAAACGCAATCAGCGCTTCATCAAAAACGGTACCGGTTACCTGACGTTTCTTTAGTCTATTTAACTGTTTGCGCGCTTTACGAAAGCATTTACGTTGTTCGACTAGATAGTTATTCCACCAGTCGCATCTACGCGTACTAGTCACGGACCCGCGACCAAAAGCAACGTCGGCACAGTAAGTAAAGGCATCTGACATGATTTCAGCGCCCTCCTCGGCCGAGAGATCTCTGCGAGTGAAGTCTCTGGCTTGGAATGCAAATAATGAACTAAAAAAGTTCCAATCCGCACCCTTAGTTTGGTACCTAAAGCTATCATTGCAATATATTGGACCCTGGGGTAATGTTGAAACAAATTCGTACACGATCAGGCGATGATCACTACACGACGCATCTGGTAGGACACGCCACCTATCCAAGCTAACGTCCACACTAGAAAGTGTGACGTCAATACAAGATTCGCCCATTTGGCTGCAAAAAGTAGGTGGTGAATCAGGGGTGTTATGAATGGAGAGATTCCCGCAAGTGATTGCAAGACGTGACGGAGGTGGTGAATATGAGGAGTAACTGAATCAGAATATTGAAAGTAGCAGCTCACAACGTAAAGTTTACAATTTCCCGAAGCAATCTCCGCGACGGCACAGTGTGACGTCATTAAATTAGCTATGGATGTTACTGTGAAATTAGGTGATCTCGTGACATAAATTCCAGCCCGCGACCTGCCATCCAGCTGCACTACCCTGTGCCGTAAGTGGGTATATTGATATTGTTCTTGAATAAGAACTATGTCAAGTTGATAATCGACAACTAATTTATCTAACTCAGACGTCGCAACCCTATCGTTATGGAGATTCAACTGCCCTATGGTTAACTTATCCATACTTTTATGTAATAGGTTGTATTGAGAATAAGTTGTTCAAGTTTTGTTTTATAGGTTCCACACTCTGGCGAGCCACAACGGTGATCATGAGGTTTCTTAAAACGTTTACGCGCCACACAAGTAGGAATAAAATTTGTTTCCTTTATATGAGGGCAGTTGTCGCTCTCGTGCGCTTCGGCGCAATTGCCGCAAGTAGGTGTATTTGCAACACAATGCTTTCTCACGTGTCCGAACTGCTGACACTGATGGCACCTGACTACCTCGACGTCATCGATAAAACGGCAGGTAGCCCAATCAATAAACAACTTCTCCTTAGTTGACACGAGATGCTTCCGCACGCTAGTATCGATTTCAATACCGATCCATTTACGACCGTTTTGCAAAGTACGTCGGCGGGTAATTTTACATGACTTGATAAAATCCTCCTCTTCGATTTTGAGTTCGCCGTTAATATTTTGCCGATATAATGAGGTCAAAAACGCAAAGTCCTCCATCGAACCAGGGACGTCTTTGACCAAGATACGCGGTCTACGGCCCTTTGGTTTTTCCAAGCGCAAACCGGCGGAACGAATCGCAGACACGGACTCGAGCTTCTTAATTTGTTGTTCGTTAGCTACACGCAGTACGATACCCGACTTTGCGGTTTTCTTGACCCCTACGATTTGGAAACCGGCGTCGCACGGTTTGATAGCTTTCATGAGCGCTTTTGCTTAGTCGCTGACGATGACGTAAAATCAGCTGAGCGCTCGGACGTGGGGTAGGCGACGACACACGGAAGCGGCGCGCGGGAGGATTCCATCGCGGGCACGACCTTGGGTAATCGAAGTTTTAAAGTTTCGGCGTAGGACACTTTATTGTCCTGGTTGTTTACTAGTTGGCTACCTCTAGTTTTGACAAGGGAGGGTGTAGATTTTATTTTGTCCAACTCGCGTTCGGTGTTTGACAATTGTGTTTCTGTACAAGAAGATTTTACAGCTAGTATCGCGACAATACCGGTGACTCGCTGAGTCAGTTCCATAATAACGGATTTACCCGACGTGGTTAGGCGGGACTCAAGCACGACCTCATTTATTTTTGACAGCAATGTCGATGCCTCGGTCATTAAATCTACATACTCGGCACTAGATGCGGATGGGGATGCAATTGGCGAACCACATTGCAAACGTTTAGACCTGTCTTCGTCAGGAGTCGCGTACGCAGGCGACATTTCACTAAATAGTCGCTTCGAGCTAGTCGAGGGTGGTGACCGCGGAGTTAACTGACTTTTGCGGAACCCACCGCGATCCGGTGGATCACTTCGCGATGCCATTGTTCAATGAATATAACTAGTACTTATCGTTAAACACTTTCGAGCAACACGAAAATAAGTAAAACAAAAATAAAACGCGAACTCAATCCGCTACCTGCAATAAAAATAAATAAATTGACTTACCGAAAATATGATGAATATTACTTTACTTAGTGGATTAATCCCGTTAATTACTCACGTATACCACACTCAGACACAGGGCACACAACAAAAAAGCCACACGAACCGGAATAGATCACGTAAATATCAAAAAGAAAACAATAATAATATAACAGCGATAAGAACACCACTACACCGTGCGCGCGCGCGGAGGGAAGTGCTTAGTGTACCCAATATAATATAAACGGAAACTTACAAAGCTCTACGTGTGCAGTGTGCAGCAGTCAGTATGAATCTCTCGCTGATCACAGTTCCTCCACAAAGCCATTGAGCCGATTTTTGTTCATCTCCGTATCCTAGTAAAGCCTAAAATGGAGAACAGCAATTTAATATACTGAAATTATACTCTCAAATGTCATAATATCTCTCTTGGTAAGCGAACCTAAGCATAGCACAGTAGTAGTAACTAATAATTGGAAACTTTTACATGGCTAACATTATAGGTAAGAGAGGAAGGTTACCTCAAGTCTGATTAACTAAATAAATAAGATGAAACCTGAATGTCTTACCATGTGAGGAAATTCCCATCTTTGTGCCTCTATTCCACCAGTAGCAAATACTAATGCTATACTTGACACGTACCCATAACATTTTCTATTTTCATTCCAGTACTTTCGCACTTCGAATTTTCCTTGAGCCCGACACGGGTAGGGTAGAATCTTTAAATAATCTAGACATTCTAAAAAATAAAGACAATTGGGATGATGCTATGGTACGAAAATTAAAAATCTAATTAGTCCGTAAGCTAGGTAATGAAAAAAATATTAGATACGTATTTTTTATTTTGTCGTATAATAAAACAATGCTTATATAAAACGAATCAAAGTCTATGAGTGGGGGCTTAAACCGTCACTTCTACGTATAAAATGTACATAGAAGTGGCGTCACACGTCATTTCAAATCAATATACCGTCGAAAGTATTCGTTTCTGTATAAGAAAATAAAAAATACGTGTCTAATGATTTAAAATAATCTACCAGACGGACATTAAAATAAAAATTAGGCATCTACCCTACTATAATGGAGACAACGAAAAATGTGTATTGTTTTAAATATCTTACTAGACCAAGCTACCGGGCCTTCATTATCTTCAGGAATTCCCAGAGGTCCTATGGAAGTATGACGGAACCTGAAATAACAAATAACAACGACAATATTAGCCTTCTCTTGTCAAGTAGGCATACATATGTCTTCTTCTTTCTGTAGAGGTGAAAATCCATTGAAGCTAGTCTCATTAGTTATTATAAAATGAATCTAGTGTGTCATCTACATATATTTCTATCTATTATTACATGATCAGCCCCCCTTCTGGTTACTCATTTTCTGACCCATGAAAAGGAACAAATATTCATAAATAATAAAAATCTGATGGATGTCTGTTAACTTTAAGGGCTGGTAGGCCTTGTTACTTACGGTTCTGCATTAGAAATATTACAATCAGTACAGCACACTACAGGTTCCTCGTTCTTATATGAACAGATATCTGGCAGCTCTGGGTAGTCATATATTTTATCAGGTGTCTTGACGTATCCCGCATTGGCCTGGAAATGACGACGGTCTACTATAAGTACTACGATCTTCTTATAACATATTTACACGTAAAACAACACTTGCGTTGTTTTCGTGTAAATGAAGTTACCAGAGGATTCATTACCCTAAATCTCCGCAATCCCATCCATCGCCAAAAATTCTCAAATTCCTAATCCCAAATACGCAGGTAACGTACTTGTAACATCTGTTCTGGTGTCTCGTGTGTCTTTGGGCGGCGCCGGTTGCTTACCATCAGGTAATCCGTCTGCTCGGTTACCGCCATTGAACTTGGTTGATAATGACAATGATATGGCTGTCCATGTCCATGATTCTGGTTTTGGTAGGATTAGGTTTGAAAGGTAGTGGCGGGTATATCTCATAAAAAATCCGGTGGTGTACCGATACTTACATAAAGGTAACTCAACGATGCAGAGGGACACCGAAATATTCCAACGCACGTTCCATTTAGACCATCAGTTACGCAAGGTTCATCTGTAACATGGTAACTCTCGTCTGTATTAATTGTCACCTAAATTGCTGAACATAGGCAACATAACATATCCTCCTAAAATTCTAGTAATACAAAACGTCCACTGCTGCACATAATCGTCCTCTCAATACTTCCAGATCGATTGAATCCGTCACCACCAACCACAAAAGATAGACAGATTATCCGATGTTTTTATAATAACTATCGTGAGACATGATTATCCGATAGGTAAA